CCACCATCTTGCCTGAGAAGAGTCAGATCCATGTTTTCTAACACCATCCAATACATGGCAATCTTGAGTTTGAGATGGGTTCTAAAGATGGACATTGCTTTTGAAAGAATGCTTTCACGTGTCCCATTTCATTCATTAGAGACAATGTCCCTTCCTTTACACCCTAACCACCTCTACAGATTATTTTGATCAATATTGATGGAAAATCTTATAACACTTTCTTCCTTCCCTACCACTCCCTGCGTCCTTTCATTAATGCATCCTTCTCAAGGCCATTAACTTTTTTCACCTTCTCATATAGCCCCCATCTATCTACCCCAACCATTCACCGTCTCATATAACCCCCATCTACCCCAACCATTCACCTTCTCATATAACCCCCATCTACCTACCCCAACCATTCACCTTCTCATATAGCCCCCATCTATCTACCCGAACCATTCACCTTCTCATATAACCCCCATCTACCTACCCCAACCATTCACCTTCTCATATAGCCCCCATCTATCTACCCCAACCATTCACCTTCTCATATAACCCCCATCTACCTACCTCAACCCTTCACCCACCTTCTCATTATAGCCCCCAACTACCTACCAGGGATCCATGCGATATTAAGGATGCTTGCCATGCGATACTACACAGCAGGGGTAGGCAAACTCCGGCCGTCCAGCTGTAGTGAAACTACAAGTCTCATCATGTATCTACCTCTGGCAGTCATGCCTGTGGCTGTCAGAGTCTTGCAATGCCTACTGGGATCTGTAGTTGCACCATAGGTGGAGGGCTGGATACCCCTGCAGCTTACACTGCTTGTACATTATGTATGTCTTGTAATTCCTGTACATGTTTGTATTACCCCCTCCAAAAGATATAGTCTGCACACTTGTTAAAAAATCACAGCTTGCTTCAGAAGACATCACGCCTTCGCAAACGTGCGACTGGCACGGCGGATCTGCCTGGTAATTGGCATTCAGTGTGAATTAAGCGGAGATCACTGCCATCCAGTGTTTGTCACAGCGAGCTTGTTATTCCTCAGGCCCCCTACTACAGCGAGACGTCTTCCATGCCACAGATTGTACGCCGAGGAAAGCGGGACAGGGGCCAGGCCGACATGGCTACCACTCCTCGGCATTACTCACCGCTCTATTTGTGCCGTGCGCCAGAGTCACGCGCAACCCTGACAGCTGCTGTGTGCAATAGGGAACACGTGTGAAAGCAACATGTATGGCACGTTTAAAAGGGGTCACGTCAACCCTGGTGCAGCACAGGCATCTGGAGCAGGGGGTGGACAAACACCGCCCCTCCAGCGGTGGTGGAACTACAAATCCCATAAGGAATTACAACACTGACGGTCACGACTCCCAGGGGCAGATGCATGATGGTATTTGTAGTTGCAGTGTTGCTGAGGAGCTGACGTTTGGCTAACCCTAATCTAGAGGGCGCTTGCTTATATTTTTGGAAATCCCTCCATGCGGGAGATCCAAAATCCCAGAAGAGGAGTAAGGATGGAAATGTGCAATCTGCTACTGCTGACTTGGTTCTGGAAGTGCAATATCAGTGCAGCAAGTCACTGGCCTGCAACAGGCCAGTGGCTCATCGGGGTGGCGGGGACGGAAGGGCCGGTGACGGAAGGGTCGGAGGGCCGGTGACGGAAGGGTCGGAGGGCCGGTGACGGAAGGGTCGGAGGGCCGGTGACGGAAGGGTCGGAGGGCCGGTGACGGAAGGGTCGGAGGGCCGGTGACGGAAGGGTCGGAGGGCCGGTGACGGAAGGGTCGGAGGGCCGGTGACGGAAGGGTCGGAGGGCCGGTGACGGAAGGGTCGGAGGGCCGGTGACGGAAGGGTCGGAGGGCCGGTGACGGAAGGGTCGGAGGGCCGGTGACGGAAGGGTCGGAGGGCCGGTGACGGAAGGGTCGGAGGGCCGGTGACGGAAGGGTCGGAGGGCCGGTGACGGAAGGGTCGGAGGGCCGGTGACGGAAGGGTCGGAGGGCCGGTGACGGAAGGGTCGGAGGGCCGGTGACGGAAGGGTCGGAGGGCCGGTGACGGAAGGGTCGGAGGGCCGGTGACGGAAGGGTCGGAGGGCCGGTGACGGAAGGGTCGGAGGGCCGGTGACGGAAGGGTCGGAGGGCCGGTGACGGAAGGGTCGGAGGGCCGGTGACGGAAGGGTCGGAGGGCCGGTGACGGAAGGGTCGGAGGGCCGGTGACGGAAGGGTCGGAGGGCCGGTGACGGAAGGGTCGGAGGGCCGGTGACGGAAGGGTCGGAGGGCCGGTGACGGAAGGGTCGGAGGGCCGGTGACGGAAGGGTCGGAGGGCCGGTGACGGAAGGGTCGGAGGGCCGGTGACGGAAGGGTCGGAGGGCCGGTGACGGAAGGGTCGGAGGGCCGGTGACGGAAGGGTCGGAGGGCCGGTGACGGAAGGGGGTCGGGGGGGAGACTGCCCTGGAACATGACCTTCAACAATGAGCATGTGTGAAGCTCTGGACTCACCTGTGCCATCGTGGCTGTACACCAGACAGGTGATGTTGGCTTTGGCTTCGCTTGTTACCTGTAACACAAACACAGGGGGGCGGGGTCAGTTGAGAAGAAACAATCCATATACAGATGACCCAAAAAGATGTCACCGCCCTAAATGTCTGTTACCAATAACAACCAGAACCCGTTTTTTCTTTCCCAGTGCACGGGTGGAAAAAAAAAAAAACGGGGTCCGTATTCCGCTGTTATAGAGTCCGGTGGGGATTTGATTGGCTGCTAAGGACTAGGAATGCACCGATGCCGGTTTTTCCGGTATGGAGTAACGATATTTTTTTTGTGGTACTCACCGAGTACCGGTGCTGTGTGCCCCGATTATCAGCAACTCGGGCGGCAGATCATGACCAGTCGCCCGGCTTCCTGATTGCCTGGGAAGCCGACGTTCTAGGGAAACCCCACCGTGTTCACTTGCCGAGGCTGCCTGACCGATCAAGAGACCGGATCATTACGCGCCGCCCGGCTTCCCTATTGGTTAGGAAGCCAGGCTGCCAAGTGCCTAGCCAATCAGGAAGCCGAGCGGCATGTCACGACCCGCCTCCCTTATTGGCTAGGAGGCCGGCTTCACTTGCTGCTGGCAGTCTGGCTTCCAATTAGGAACCCGGATGGCACGTAATGACCCGCCTCCCTAATTGGTCAGGAAGCCAGACTGCCTAGGAACAAGCCGGCTCCCCAGCCAATCAGGAAGCCGGGCAGGACATCATGACCCGCCTCCCGGTTTCCTGATTGGCTAGGAAGCCAGCTTCACTTGTTGGTAGACAGCCTGGCTTTGTAACCAATTAGGCAGCTGGGCGGTACGTCATGACCCGCCTCCCGGATTCGCTTCCCTTGTTGCTAGGCAATGTGGCTCCCAAGGTGTGTCCCTTTTAGAGTGTAAGCCCTCAGGGGCAGGGCCCTCCTCGCCATCTTGTCTTGAATTGTATTGTGATTGTAATGTCTTCCTTATATTGTACAGCGCCGCGCACACTGTTGGCGCTCTATACACCCCCGTATAATAACAAGTACTAATCTGAACACTTGTTCTGCGTCAATGGACGTCATTTACAAAGCTGTGCGGCATTCAAGGCTTACGGACTGGCACTCCGGGCATGCCGAATCTTTCCCTTACCAAGTGATGAGGGCAAAACTTCTTCAGAACTCCGTTATTCTCGTTCTCATTGATTCTCCGCTGGTCATAGATCCTGAGGACAGAAAACCAGCGTCAGGTATCACACAAATCACTGCTGACTGGTCTGGTCTCCGCCCCCTCCTGTAATAAAGACCGCTCACTGCTGCTCTCTCTCCTTGTGCAGGGTGATGGTCTCGTCTCCGCCCCCTCCTGTAATAAAGACCGCCCACTGCTGCTCTCTCCTTGTGCAAGGTGACTGGTCTTGTCTCCGCCCCCTCCTGTAATAAAGACCGCTCAGTGCTGCTCTCCCTCCTTATACAGGGTGACTGGTCTCGTCTCCTCCCCCTCCTGTAATAAAGACCGCTCACTGCTCCTCTCTCTCCTTGTGCAGGGTGACTGGTCTTGTCTCCGCCCCTTCCTGTAATAAAGACCGCTCACTGCTCCTCTCTCTCTTCTTGTGCAGGGTGACTGGTCTTGTCTCCGCCCCCTCCTGTAATAAAGACCGCTCACTGCTCCTCTCTCTCCTTGTGCAGGGTGACTGGTCTTGTCTCCGCCCCTTCCTGTAATAAAGACCGCTCACTGCTCCTCTCTCTCTTCTTGTGCAGGGTGACTGGTCTTGTCTCCGCCCCCTCCTGTAATAAAGACCGCTCACTGCTCCTCTCTCTCCTTGTGCAGGGTGACTGGTCTTGTCTCCGCCCCTTCCTGTAATAAAGACCGCTCACTGCTCCTCTCTCTCTTCTTGTGCAGGGTGACTGGTCTTGTCTCCGCCCCCTCCTGTAATAAAGACCGCTCACTGCTCCTCTCTCTCTCCTTGTGCACATGAAAAACAAGCCCCTCACCTGACAAACTGGTCGCGGCCACCCACTGCGAACTGGTGGGTGTTGGCGGGATTGACATATATGGTGTACAGTCCGATCTTCTTCTCCTTCTCCTTGGTGACAACCAGCCGCCTGTGTGCGAGAGAATACAAAGGAGGACGAGGTGTTACATCGTGCAACGCACCGCTCTGGTGTACTACGCCGGAGGGATTTGTACTCACGATGCGGGCCGGTCTTGCCGAAGGTCGATGGTGAACACCACGGCATCCTCACCGGCGGACAGGAACGTACACGGGGAGTCTGGTTCTAGGGCGAGCTGGGCAGGAGGCAAAAACACACACAGAGGGTTAAGATCCGGGACAATCCCGCACACCATTATATCGCAGGATCATTTAGTGATCATGTGACCACTAGGTCAGCTATGACACAGACTTCAACCTGCAGGTGAACGCTGCCACCTTCAGGCTGCCCTGGCATCTGCAGGTTCGCCTGTTTAATGCTTTATTTTTTTTTAAATATTTTGTAGTGAAAAACAAATAACACATTATTTGGCCTATATATCTGGCGTTCTGCTTATACAGTTGCGTGGATAATGACGAGGACATTACACAGAAAGGACGGGGCTGCGTACCTTGTGAGAGGCTCCTTTGTGCTGGGCCACCCTCTTTGTAGTCTTGCAGCACTGGGTTGCGGAGAGCTCGGCGACGCGTACCTGCCCGTCGCGGGCGCACATGGCGATGGTGGAGTCTCCGCTGTTGGGCAGGAATTTCGCCTGATGGGAAAGGGAACAAGGTGAGAGAGACTTCCCGGGGAGAGAGGTCAGTCATTACCGCGCCTCAAAAGAAGACCCGAGGGCCGAAGCCTGAAATTTGCCAGTTCTCAGGAGGTAGCGGTCGTTGGAGGCGGAGCTGCCACGGAGAGGACCGTGTCACACCACTGATCCTGTCAATGGGGGCAACGTGCCAGGAACAGGACGGCCGAGGAGAGCGCACACGTGGTCCTGCATTGCTGTCCCCCTAGCTGGCCCAACCAACCCCTTCCTGTCCACAGTGCCCCCAGGTTGCTAAGACCCGGGCTCGGAGATATGAGAGGTCCAAACTTATCTCCCGGCCAAGATCTTGGCAACCTGGAACACCCAGCTTCCCGTTCAGCTCCTGGTGACCAGCGACGTCACTGGTTGCCAGGATCTGTGGCTGGCGTCCCATTCAGCTTTGTGACGTCACTTGTTGCCAGGATCTGTGGCTCTGGCGTCCCATTCAGCTTTGTGACGTCACTTGTTGCCAGGATCTGTGGCTCTGGCGTCCCATTCAGCTTTGTGACGTCACTTGTTGCCAGGATCTGTGGCTCTGGCGTCCCATTCAGCTTTGTGACGTCACTTGTTGCCAGGATCTGTGGCTCTGGCGTCCCATTCAGCTTTGTGACGTCACTTGTTGCCAGGATCTGTGGCTCTGGCGTCCCATTCAGCTTTGTGACGTCACTTGTTGCCAGGATCTGTGGCTCTGGCGTCCCATTCAGCTTTGTGACGTCACTTGTTGCCAGGATCTGTGGCTCTGGCGTCCCATTCAGCTTTGTGACGTCACTTGTTGCCAGGATCTGTGGCTCTGGCGTCCCATTCAGCTTTGTGACGTCACTTGTTGCCAGGATCTGTGGCTCTGGCGTCCCATTCAGCTTTGTGACGTCACTTGTTGCCAGGATCTGTGGCTCTGGCGTCCCATTCAGCTTTGTGACGTCACTGGTTGCCAGGAGCTGAGCGGGTTGCTCTGGCTGGCGCCCCATTCAGGTCCTGTGACGTCACTGGTTGCCAGGAGCTGAGCGGGTTGCTCTGGCTGGCGCCCCATTCAGGTCCTGTGACGTCACTGGTTGCCAGGAGCTGAGCGGGTTGCTCTGGCCGGCGTCCCATTCAGCTCTTGTGATGTCACTGGTTGCCAGGTAAGAGGTAGCCGCCTTGGCCATAGTCCTGCAGGGGGCGCCTATCCTGCCTCTGTATCGCTTGGGTTGTCGACTGAAAAGTGAAGCCGACAGCTCAGCCCTGCAGAGGAGATCGGGGAAATCTCCCGGTGTAATGTGCTGTGTCCAGAGCTCGGGGTGCTCCTGATAATAAGAGCTCAACACCCGGCTGTCACAGAACTCAGATGATTACCCCGGGAGAGCGGCGTACTTCCTGTGTAACCTGCGGGACTGAGCTGTCCGCTCCATCTAGTAGGAAGGCCCCCACCGAAAAGAGAATCCCAGAGCGCCCCCAACAAATGGTATGTGTACCCCACGACCTGCAAGAGCCAAACATGGCCGAAGGTAGAGAGGATAGATGACAGCAGTGGATGATGGGGGTGATTATTCTGTATGAAGAGAAGGGAATCTAGATGGGTGGTGCTGAACCCGCAGTCCTCGGTCTCCGGTGAATTCCCGGAGACATTCTATTTTATCTTTTTCACACTTCCTGACAATTCCCCTCCCCAGCCTCCGACCATCTCCCGGGGGACACCCAGCCTCCGACCATCTCCCGGGGGACACCCAGCCTCCGACCATCTCCCATGGGACACCCAGCCTCCGACCATCTCCCATAGGACACCCAGCCTCCGACCATCTCCTGTAGTATGTCTGCAGCTATACTGACTTTAAAGTGCATGTCTAGCCAAAAACTTGGGCAAAGAGCAGGGCGGGGCTAAAACCCCAAATCAAACTTCCTGTACTGGAGACTCGACAGGAAATGATGCGATGCACATCCCCCCCATCTCAGACACAGGTGTCCCCACTGGAAGATTTCCCCTCTATCCCTGCTCTGAATCAATTCCCATTTCCTGTCTCGGTGACAATGGACACCAGGACAAATAAAGAGGGTGACTACTCCTGGGAAGGCAGAGCAATACAAATCTGACCGGGGCTCCAATTCTCTTACATTCCATCCAACACTGAAAAGAAAAAACCTCTCATTACACCTAAAACACCGATATAGAGATATTCGGACAATCAACCCAACACATTACATTTTAGGAGGTTGTGTCCATATGAAAAGGTGCACGGCATCCCTGATGAGACCCTGGTATGGACGAATCACACCGAGCCTGCCGCAGCTCATGCAATTCGGGGATGATGCAGATGTACATAGACCCTCACACGCTGCACCCCTACGGCCTATGTTCTCTATCTACAGAACGAAAGCAGGCGGCAGTTTCCCACAATGCACACGGTTCACCCCCAGGGCCGACTTTAAAAACAGTACAAAGTTCAATATTGCCACACAGAGTCTGGATAAATATTAACTTATTTGCCTAAAAAGTAAAAAACGCATGGTGGCTGGCAGTCTGTGCACAACGGACGAAGCAGAAAGCCCCGCCCTTAAGTGGTGGGGGCGGGTCCTTTCTACTAAACTCGCTGCACTCTTTATAGCAGGGCTAGCAAACCTCCGACCCTCCAGCTGTGGGTGGAACTACAAATCCCATGATGCATCTCTCTTGGGGAGTCATGTCCGTGGCTGTTAGACTCTTGCAATGCCTCATGGGATTTGTAGTTCCACCCCACAGCTGGAGAGCCGGAGGTTTGCTACCCCCTGCTTTATAGTCTTCTCTCCCTGGCCTTCTGCTGCTTTGAGTTATTACTCCCCAACAGGCTGATTTCTATATCCTCTGCCCAGCCTACAGCTGGCTGACAGCCATTCACAGGGCATTGCCATCACTAGATGAAGCCAAGGGGCATAGCCAATTCCTTTGCTACTGAGCGCCACCTGGTGGCCAGCGAGCAGATAACAGCGCTGCGGTGCCTACCTGAAACACGTTGCTTTTGTGGCCGCTCTCGAACTCCAGGACGGGCTTCCTCCTCACCCAGTCCCAGACCACCACCTTGAGGTCATCGCTGCCGCTGGCCAACCAGGTGCCCCTCTGGTTGAAGTGCAAGGTGTTGACGCAGCCGAGGTGCCCGTCCAGGCCGTGCAAGAGGCGGAACCTCTGGACGAAGCCGCGCGCCCCGCAGGCGTCGTAGATGAAGCGCCGGCTGGTTCCGATCTCCCTGTGGCGGAGCGCGCGGAGGGCTCGCCACCGGGGCCTGGGCAGGGGCGTCTTCTCGGACGACACCCAGTCTTCCAGCGCCCTCTCGTCGTCGGAAGAGTCCTGGTCGTTGTTGGCTCGCTTTTTTTGGCCTCGCTTGCGGAGGCGGTCTTCCTCCTCCTCCTCGTCTTCCTCCTCGTCCTCCGAGTGCGAGCGGTCGTTGCCGCGGTTTTCGTCGTTGATGGAATAAAGTCCGGTGTCGTCCATACTGTCAGAGTCCTTGTCCTCCCCGGAGCTCTCCGAGCTGCTCCCAGGACTTCTCCTTCCCTTCTTCTGTCCCGGACATGTCTTCTGGGCTGCTGGAGAAGCTTCCTGAGCGAGAGAGGAACCAACAAAACGTGTGAGACAAAGAGAAGCCGAGAGGACCGGCAATAAAACATCAAACGTATGCCCAGGGGGGTCTTGTTGGGACCGTTACGGCCACCCGGGGAGTGGTCAGCAAACCAGTCGCCAACGATAACCGAAGGGCCCGGTGTGCCAAGATGGTGGGACAGAGAGGAACCCATGCAGTGAACTCCCAGTTATCCAACACCCAACTGGGACTGTAGGTGCCAGATAACTGGAGTTTCTGGTTGCCTGAGATAATGGAGGCAGCCGGGAGCAATAGGCAGCCTGCTATTGGCTATTTTAAAATTGCAATAACAGCAGGCTAGCTAGTGAAGCCCCGCCCACTGAGCAGAGGAGCGACCCCGAGAGGGAAAGTTCTCTTTCAGGTCCGCGCCTCTGCTCAATGGGCGGGGTTTCAATCACCAGCCTGCTATGGGCCATTTCAAATTGCAATAGCCAATAGCAGGCTGGCTGTTGGAACCCCAGCCATCGAGCAGAGCAGCAGCCCGGAGAAAAAAAAAAGCTCTCTCTCCGGCCCGATCCTCTGCTTGGTGGGCTGGAACAATAGCCAGCCTGCTATTGGCTATTTCAAATTGCAACAACAGCAGGCTAGCTAGTGAAGCCCCGCCCACTGAGCACAGGAGCGACCCCGAGAAAGAACGTCCTCTCTCAGGTCCGCTCCTCTGCTCAGCGGGCGGGAACAATAGCCAGCCTGCTATTGGCTAGTCCAATTTGAAATGGCCAATAGCAGGCTGGCTGTTGAAACCCCGGCCATCGAGCAGAGCTTTTTTAGGGCTGTCCACCCCAGTTTTATTCAGTTTAATAAAACCTTAATATATTTTATATAGTAAACTCCAAGTTATCCAGCACCCATGGGGATCGGTGGGTGCCGGATAACTGTAGTTTCCGGTTACTTGAGAATTAATAGTAACTCTCAAGCAGCCATCCCCACGGCACTCCACAGCCCAATTCATCTACCGGCTAGCTTCCAAAGCCAACCGGTGAATAGAGGCAACCTGGAGCAATAGCCAGCCTGCTATGGCAATAGCAGGTTGGCTAGTGAAGCCCTGCCCACTAGCAGAGGAGCAGCCTTGAGAAAGAAAGTTCTCTTTCAGGTCTGCTCCTCTGCTCAGCGGGCGGGAACAATAGCCAGCCTGCTATTGGCCATTTCAAATTGGACTAGCCCCAGACATCATCCCAGAGGCAGATGCATGATGGGAATTGTAGGCTCACCAAGCCCTGGTCTAGGTAGTATGTCATGTGACCTTTCTAAGCTTCCTTTAACTTACGGAGCGGGTCGGGCAGACGGGACGGGGTGTGTACCGGGGACTCTCCG